CGTGAAATGGATAGTACACTAATACAACTTAGTACGCTCTAACTGCATTGTTTTCTTATTTTGTGTCTATAATTTGACTATCACACTTTAATAGTCAAGTTTTGTTTCACGGGTTTCATGACTTCACTCTAATTCCCATGATTTCATCTTTGTTTTTGTTTTTTTCAATTCACAGGTTGACCGCATCAAACTAAGCCACGACCACACCGGATACGGGTCAGGGTTCTACGTCGAGGAAGTCGAGATCGAAATCCCCGAGCGACAAGACAAGGTGAAATTTCCATGCAGGTGCTGGCTCGCTCAAGGTGTTGAGGACGGGAAAATTGAAAGRGAGATGTACCCTGTCTCGCAGCTACCAAGTAAGTAACGTTTCCGTAACGCAAACKTGTCAYRTCATAGGCGGCCCAACCAAGACTTGAGAAACCTTCAATTTTCATAAATTACTGTTATTCGTACAAGCAAGCGTTTTGATCTTGTTATGGTTGCTAGCGCGCGCTCTAAAGATGTGGATTCCCTATGGTTCTTTGTTATAATCACACGAAGTGCGAAACAAACTAGTTTGTAACGTAAACGGATGGCACGGTGGTCTAGTGGTTAAGCTGCTGGCTTCTCACCGCTGTGGTCCGGATTCGATTCCCGGGCACGGACCATATGTAAGTTTGAGTTTGTTTTGATGTGTTGTTCTCTCCCTTGCCACGAGGGTTTTTCTCCGGGTCCTCCGGTTTTCCTCCCTCAGTAAAAATCAACATGTGAGGAGTGTTGTGTGCTAAAATACTTAATGTAGAGGTAGTGAGTGTGAGAGTACAGGGTCCGCAGTAATTGGCTCACGCTGTTGCGGTGTCCCTGCCCAACTAGGGGTAAAGCTAATAAATTCAATTCATTTCAGTTCAATTCAATTCAATTCAATTTAATTCAATTCAATTCAATCGAATCGAATCGAATCGAATCGAACCACAGGGAATACGCATTTTAGTACACGACCGCATTGAATGCCGGTTGAATATGAATCTTTAAGTACAAAGTTCGACACAGTGCCCTTCACTCTATCTCACGCCTTATACGTTGCGATTTAGATACGTCGTACACAATGTCAGTAAAACTGGGCGAAGTCTTGAGTCCTGACACCAACCTACACGTCCAGTTGTTCGGCGAGAAGGGAGAAACAAGTAAAATAATGCTACGACCGGTCGGAACCTCGTTTAACCGGTTTGAGAAGGGAAGGACATATAAATTTACTGTTGAGACAGTGGACATAGGGAAGGTAAGAAATGAGTTATTCCGACCACCTTCGGAACTGAAACCCCGTAATAACGCGTTGTCCGTAATATTGAGTGTCCCTAAGACGGGATTTGACTTTGGATGCTTTACGTTTATCACAACTGACCGCCCAGATTCAAAGAAAATTTCAGTACTAATCATTCCTGTTCCGGCAGAAGAATCAATTTCTAAATTTTATACAATAGTATAATGGAAAACTTAAAGGCCGAGTGTGCACCATTATGCTTTGGGGGGCGCGAGGGCCGGGTGGCGGCCATTTACACTGGAAAAAAATCGCGCGCTTTAAAGGTTGTAAATTTGATGTAAATATGATGTAAGTGTCCAAAATTCTGTAAATTTAATGGAAATTATTTACATCTAATTTACAGAATTGTGGACACTTAATCATATTTACATCAAATTTACAACCTTTAAAGCGCGCGATTTTTTCCAGTGTTACTGCAAACTGTTGACAAAGAGCATTATTTACGTCTAAGGAGACCGGTTTGGTCCGTCAGTCCTGACTAAACGAAAAGCGCACTTTGACTGCTGATTTTAAACTCGGATAAATGGARAAATGCTAGATAAATATTGCGTCACAGAGCACTATACATCAAACAATGTTAAGCGTTTCACCCTTTTTGTTATTTGGATGCTGGTCTATGTTTGTGCATAAAGCTKAATTATTTGATCTTTCGGCTCTTCTTTAGCTATAGACGACTGAAGCTATTACGWCATGTAYCGYATACGCAATGCATTGTAGRATATGTTTGGGACAGAACATGGTGGAATCTTTTGTTTTCTCTAGAAACTGATCCCACAATGCATTGAGAATCAGGGAGTGACGTAAAACGCTCAGAAGTCTATTCTTTGCGAGGACTTTTGTTGAAGAATTAGTACTCATTTATAAATGACGTTTTTTTAGATTGAAAGATTGCGTATTGGACACGACGCGCGCGGTCCAGGCAAAGGAATCTTTGTGGAGGAAGTTGATGTGTTGCCAGCCGAGGGCGAACGAACAACGTTTCCTTGTTCGTGTTGGCTGGCTGAGGACAAAGCGGACAAGAGGCTGGAGCGAGATGTTTTACCGGGAAAGCCCAAACCACCAAGGCCAAGTAATGTTTAGTTGTATGATTATTGTCGTTTTTTGTTCTGAAATAAATGTATGCAACATTTTAGTTAAATATGACTAATTCAATCAATATCATTGCTCAATCTGTATCCTTTTTTTTTGCATCATTTGTAGACGTTTCATATCATCTCGCTATCAAGACCGCTGACGTCCCCAATGCAGGCACCGACGCCAACGTGTACTTCCAATTGTWCGGCGACGAGGCTGAGACTGAAAAAATCCAACTAAGACAGGGTGGAAAGTCAGAGAAACGATTCGAACGTGGTAGAACTGATAAATTTATCGTCGAAACTGTCGATGTCGGACCGGTAAGTCGAAGACCATGAGCCCGCTGTACGACGGGTGGACAGCGGTATCCACYGGTTAAATCCGTCTACGGATMTAACAGTCTTGAAAGCCAATTGAGTGTATGCCTCCACTGAATAAATTTATTATTTAAATTTTTATAATTATCACTGTACATAATTATCACTGGTCTCGTAAGAGACCACCTCGGGATCAGGAAAATGTGGTCGCTTACGAGAGATGGTCGCTTACGAGAGTGGTCGTTCAAAGGGAGTCAACTGTATTTCTTATCGTTTCGGGAAAGACTGGAAAAAAGTGCTTGGGGTCGATAAACAATGGGCCCTGAATGCCATTACAATTGAAAACTAAATCTTGAGCAGGTCTTGGAAGACAGGTTTCATCTCTAGTTTACTGAGGAAATGCATGGGCTCATTAGCGTTTTGCCATACAGCAATGCAATTGTTAAAAGCTCTTAAAGTGTTGAAATTGTGAATGTTTTGCTTTGCTATCTTTCGTCACTTCACTTCTACCGCCGAAGGCATACCACTCCAGAAAACTGCAAGGAGAATGAGATCTTTTGACATCCCCCATTGCAGAACAGAGAGACTCAAAAAGTCATTAATCATTAGTCGCGCAATTTAACGTTACATTTAGTTGACTGAAAACTTGGTTAAATATTGTCTATATTTATAGTTTTTATAGTTTTTTTTATAGTTTTTACTGAGCAACGTTTTGTGAACAAAGATCAATAATTGAGTTGAGTACTATCTCACATTCAGGTTAAGAAGTTGCGTATTGGTCACGATAACAAGGGACTKGCAGCTGGCTGGAAACTCGACCAAGTCACCGTCGAAGTCCCATCACGCAGCGAAAAACATGTCTTTCCGTGTAATCGCTGGCTAGATCCTACCGAGGACGACAAAAAGATCGAAAGAGAACTGTTACCCGGAAATCCTGGAAGTATCACAACTACCCTTACAACAACTGGCCCCCCGACTCCCTCCCGGACAGTCAGTAAAACAGTTGTCGAAAAGACCTCGACGTCGTTCCGACAGGTTCCGACGGAACCGAACAAGTACGGAACTGCTCCGAAGCCTGGAACTCAGAAACAGGTGATTGAAGAGACGAGATATAAAACGATGCCGTCAAAGACAGTTACCACTGAAGAGATTAGGTAAGAATCAAAGGATAGACTTTATTGCCAATACTCCAATTTCGAGTTCTGGTTTCCTCTATGTTAGCCTCAAAAGCAACATCTTCTTTTGTTTCATTGATAGCCCGAGAAAATGCGCGGAATTCGTGAAGAAAGAAAATAAAAATTGATCTGAAATCTCACTTTACGCTCACAATTAGGAATATTTTGCGCACAAATGAGGCTAACACAGAGAATTGGAGAATTCGAAACTGGAATATACGAACGCCATCTTGAATTCTATTATTTTGAGTAAAACGTATCATTATCATCATCATCATCATCATTATCAACACGTCAAGTCCACTTAGGAACAAGTTGATCATAAAATGTGAAATAGGTGAAGAAGCAGAACACGTTCCGATGTTTTGAGACAATTTAAATTTTTTTTTTTTAACCACAAAGAAAAACAATATGGTTTTTATGCATTTGTTCCTTGAAAACTCCATAATTTCTCAATTCGAGATGGCGGCATTATTGTTATAATGAACCAATTCATGTTGAATGCCGATATTCGGAATGAATTTAACAAATAGATCTCATTTTTCCGACGGAAAAATGAGATCTATCTGTTTTATACAACAAACAATTAGTTTTGACGTAATCCGTGTATCTATACTTTGATAACACACGAATGCCAACCAATCAAAACGTCTGATTTTACTGAAAAGTTGTATAAAGTAGGATATCACGCGGTAATTCAGCCAATCACAGCGTGTATTATGTGCGCTTTCCATTTGTCAGAACTGGCTGGCCAGACCCAGAGAAAATGTCATTATATATCATTCCCATTTAGTTAGGAAATTCAAATTTTCAAATTCTATCCATTATTCTACAGAAAACCTCGAAATGACTGAAAAATATTGACAAAAAGCATTATATACCTCTAAATAGAGTGGACTGGCCGGCCAGTTCTGCCTAAATGGAAAGCACCCTATACATACAAGTTTAACATAGAAACATTTTCATTTTGTTAAGGTATCAAACTACTCCTACAAAACGAATCATCGAAGAAGAGGKTCGGCAAAAGAAACCACCTGTGCCGACCCCTGACAAAATCCGCGAAGAACGAATCCGAACAGAAGTTGAGAGCACCCCACCSCCAAGACCYGCSCCACCAACAGAAACACAGGGGGACATATCGCTTAGGAGCTATCATGAAGGGACGCCTGGCGATAARGCTAAACCAAAACAAGGATATATGTACCAAACGACTACAACAGAGACAGTTACAAGACAAGTAAAGATCGACGGTGAACAAGAA